TTTAAACATGATTAAAATGAAAGTAAATGACATCAATGATGCATCCATAAGCAATGAAGATGAATATTTAATGGAAATAGAATAATAAGATTTTCCTTTTATATAAAAATGTTTAGACTTAGGCTAATAATTTTTAAGAAATTATATATCACTTAATATACTTACATATAATATTGTATTAACTTAAGTATGTTAGTTAAGGGAAATTTATAAAAAAAAAAAAAAAAAAAAAAATAATAAAGCAAAAAAACTGTAAAAATTTCGTTTCATTTTAAGAATTTAGAGCCAATAACGAATGTTTTAATATTGGTGTTACACTTGCGTACATCGAATTTATATATGAATATTATTGCGCAAGGTTATGAAATTTTAATAAAAAAAAAATTATGCTGGAGATATTAAGTGTCCACAAAGGGACAAACAAAAAAATCGAAAGCAAATAAAAATAAACATTTAACTGCCAAACGGACAACAACAAAAAATTAAACACACTCATTCAGTGAGTACGGCGCATACGTATATACAATCCAACATACAAACACAACAGGACAGACGAATTTAGCTAATGGAATCAGACTTAAGTAAAATGCAACATAAACATAAATAATTATCGATATTATTACGCAAGATTATGAAAGACAACTACTTAGAACAGAAGAATTTGGGTCAAAAACTCATTTTTGATAAAGATTTGATTTTTACCTTAAAATATGAATTTTTAAAAAGTTAAGTTGTAATTGAATTCTAATTAAGTTGGATTCAACGTTAGTTGAGTTTTAATATAAGTTCAGTTTAAATTTTTTGTTAAGTTATAGTTTTGTTCTATCTCAATTCGAGGCTGATTATTGTTTAGATCTAGTTCAGTTGGAACATTTTTGGACTAAAGAATCATATTTTTAGTCAAAAAAAAAACTTAATTTTTGGAGAAAATGTATAAAATTGCTCTAAGAATGCAATGATTTGTTAAAAAGTCTATTTTTCTGTAAATTCTTGTTCCTTTAAGTTGGAATCTAAATAATTTTATGTTAAGTAGCAGTCAAGTTGTAGTTTGTTCTAGTCCGGTTCTGTATAAATTTCAGTGTCGTTAGGGCTTAGTTCTAGTTAAGTTGGGATATTTTTGGATTAAAAATCTTATTTTTAGTCAAAAACTTAATTTTTGGAGAAAAATTAATTAAAACTACACTATGAATGCAATGTTTTTCGAAAAAGTATACTTTCCAGCTTATTCTTGTTCATTTAATGTAGAATTTAATTCGTTTAATATTAAGTCGAAGTTAAGTCGAAGTTAAGTTGTAGTTTAGTTCTAGTCCGGATAAATTCCAGTCTGATTCTTATTTAGCTCCAGTTAAGTAACAAAAATATTTAAAATTTTACAAACTAATTTAGTGAACATGGAGCATTCGTATGATTTCGACATGGACAGACATAATTGACTCAGATGAAGAGAAAATCACATATTTACAAAAAATATTCATACATATATACATATAGATGTATATGTACATACATATGAATATCATCTATCTTCTTAATAATGTTTATTATTCTTATATTTTTTTTTTTTTTTTTTTTTACAGTTTCAAGTGCGATTGCGTATTGTTTTCATTATCCTCTTGTTTTGTTTATAATTTAAACAAACTTTTTGACTTCAAAATAGTGAGTGTATTAAACATACATGCTTTATTACTGATATTTCTGAACGCCTGGTGCTAACCATTCGATATTAATGCATTTTATCCTACAAATACACTAAATATACTACATGGACAGACATAATTGACTCAGATGAAGAGAAAATCATATATTTACAAAACAATGTACACATATATATACATATATGTATATGTACATACATATTGATATCATTTGTCTTTCTTAATAAAGTTTACTGTTCTTATCTGTGTTTTACAGTTTCAAGTGCGACTGCGTATTGTTGATATTTCTGTACGCCTGGTGCTAAACATTCGAGATTAGTGCATTTTTAAAAAAAAAAAGTGTTAAATTCTCGGATTTCACCCATTAAAATTTGAAATTTTCATAGTAAATTTTAAATTTTAATGGGTGAAATCCGAGAATTTAACACTTTTTTTTTTTTTTAAATGCACTAATCTCGAATGTTTAGCACCAGGCGTACAGAAATATCAACAATACGCAGTCGCACTTGAAACTGTAAAACACAGATAAGAACAGTAAACTTTATTAAGAAAGACAAATGATATCAATATGTATGTACATATACATATATGTATATATATGTGTACATTGTTTTGTAAATATATGATTTTCTCTTCATCTGAGTCAATTATGTCTGTCCATGTAGTATATTTAGTGTATTTGTAGGATAAAATGCATTAATATCGAATGGTTAGCACCAGGCGTTCAGAAATATCAGTAATAAAGCATGTATGTTTAATACACTCACTATTTTGAAGTCAAAAAGTTTGTTTAAATTATAAACAAAACAAGAGTATAATGAAAACAATACGCAATCGCACTTGAAACTGTAAAAAAAAAAAAAAAAAAAATATAAGAATAATAAACATTATTAAGAAGATAGATGATATTCATATGTATGTACATATACATCTATATGTATATATGTATGAATATTTTTTGTAAATATGTGATTTTCTCTTCATCTGAGTCAATTATGTCTGTCCATGTCGAAATCATACGAATGCTCCATGTTCACTAAATTAGTTTGTAAAATTTTAAATATTTTTGTTACTTAACTGGAGCTAAATAAGAATCAGACTGGAATTTATCCGGACTAGAACTAAACTACAACTTAACTTCGACTTAACTTCGACTTAATATTAAACGAATTAAATTCTACATTAAATGAACAAGAATAAGCTGGAAAGTATACTTTTTCGAAAAACATTGCATTCATAGTGTAGTTTTAATTAATTTTTCTCCAAAAATTAAGTTTTTGACTAAAAATAAGATTTTTAATCCAAAAATATCCCAACTTAACTAGAACTAAGCCCTAACGACACTGAAATTTATACAGAACCGGACTAGAACAAACTACAACTTGACTGCTACTTAACATAAAATTATTTAGATTCCAACTTAAAGGAACAAGAATTTACAGAAAAATAGACTTTTTAACAAATCATTGCATTCTTAGAGCAATTTTATACATTTTCTCCAAAAATTAAGTTTTTTTTTGACTAAAAATATGATTCTTTAGTCCAAAAATGTTCCAACTGAACTAGATCTAAACAATAATCAGCCTCGAATTGAGATAGAACAAAACTATAACTTAACAAAAAATTTAAACTGAACTTATATTAAAACTCAACTAACGTTGAATCCAACTTAATTAGAATTCAATTACAACTTAACTTTTTAAAAATTCATATTTTAAGGTAAAAATCAAATCTTTATCAAAAATGAGTTTTTGACCCAAATTCTTCTGTTCTAAGTAGTTGTCTTTCATAATCTTGCGTAATAATATCGATAATTATTTATGTTTATGTTGCATTTTACTTAAGTCTGATTCCATTAGCTAAATTCGTCTGTCCTGTTGTGTTTGTATGTTGGATTGTATATACGTATGCGCCGTACTCACTGAATGAGTGTGTTTAATTTTTTGTTGTTGTCCGTTTGGCAGTTAAATGTTTATTTTTATTTGCTTTCGATTTTTTTGTTTGTCCCTTTGTGGACACTTAATATCTCCAGCATAATTTTTTTTTTATTAAAATTTCATAACCTTGCGCAATAATATTCATATATAATTCGATGTACGCAAGTGTAACACCAATATTAAAACATTCGTTATTGGCTCTAAATTCTTAAAATGAAACGAAATTTTTACAGTTTTTTTGCTTTTATTATTTTTTTTTTTTTTTTTTTTTTATAAATTTCCCTTAACTAACATACTTAAGTTAATACAATATTATATGTAAGTATATTAAGTGATATATAATTTCTTAAAAATTATTAGCCTAAGTCTAAACATTTTTATATAAAAGGAAAATCTTATTATTCTATTTCCATTAAATATTCATCTTCATTGCTTATGGATGCATCATTGATGTCATTTACTTTCATTTTAATCATGTTTAAATCGGTCATAACATGATCTTCATCATCATTATTTATTAAAAGTTTTTGTTTATAATGCCCCCAAGCAAGAGTATTAACATTATTATTACAAATAAATCGTTTATTATCTAAATAACTTAAACTAATTTTATTTATATATGCTGTGTACAAAACATGTAATTTTGATTTAAAGATAATCATATTTCCATAATATACTTTTTTATTATACAAACAGTTCTTATAGTCTGAAAGACTTAAATTTTTAACTACATTACTTTTGACACCCTTAGCTTTTTTGATTTCTTTATGATCTTCAGTTTTAAATGAATACATTTTAGCTCTTAAACCTATAAATTCTTTCATAAGTATACCATTATTTTCATCCTTCATCATTCCTAATACTTTCTTATTCTTTTTTGGTATACCAAAACGATTATCAGATTCGTATTCCGAAGTGTCGAATCTTGAATCGATATCATCAATTATATCTTTATAGAAATCATCCGTTTCAATTGTATAAATGAATGAATCAGTGTCCATATAATTAAGTTGAGCTTTTGAATTGTATTTAGGAACAATATAATCATAATGGAAATCATACATCTTCCATTTAGATAGTTCTAGAATTGTAAAACCTAGATAAATGGGTTTGTTATAAAATGAATACGTTTTATTTAATTCAATTGCTAGCATATTTTCTTCAAATATACTAACAGAATGAAATTCTGGTTTTGCTATTAGAGCACGAGCTCCAAGTCTTTTTCCTTCATTTTCCCATTTACTCACAATTTTAATGTTTTTACGTTTATCAACGTTTTCCATAGTTTTACCATATACAGCGTTATTAAGCAGTTTGAAAAAATTTTTCTCAAATGTATTTTTTGCATTTGTTCGGTGAAAATTATTTAAGGAAATATACTTTTTTAACCAGTTAGACTGCTTAAATTTTAGGATTTATGTATTTTATTTAATTTTAGACCGTGGTTTAAGCATTGTTGTAAATTCTTATAATAGATTACATATTGATATTTGTTGTTTAAATCCACAATTAATTTTTTCTCTTTAGAACTGGGTGGTGCTTTATTTTCACAACAAAATGGAAGATTGTTGTGACTATCATGAATTTCTATGGGATATATCAAATCTACCTCTAAAATATATCCAGTATCAGAATCTATCGGAATACTTTCCAATGAAAAGTTTCTAATATCTTCAATCCACTCAAAATCACACTCTGGTAAAGATTGAGACATTGCCCAACCATATAAGTTGTTAGCATCTAAATATGTTAAATATTTAGAGGGCAATTTGTCATTGTAGTCAGAAAGATATTTGTTGTTTGCAACAGAATGTCTTTGAGAACATTGAACAATTCCACCTCTAATTCCTTTTTGTAAAAAATTAATCATTTCAATATCGGTAAGCAAATCTAGTTTTATGTTTGTTATTTTTAGCATTGCATCCCAAGATAGACCAGGTGCCGTATAGTAATGACATGGATCTAAATTATAGATGTTTTTACAGACTAATCTAAAGTTTTCAAATACATCGGCTAATAATAAAACATCACTTCTTAAGTATAACATTAAGTAATCTTCTAATGTTTTGCACTCAAAAGTATTCCAAACTTTTTGTGCATGTGCATAGTCCTCTATAGAACATTCTGATTCAGTTAATTTATTAAAGAACTCATCTATGGTTGGTAAACAAGGTTCTTGGAGTTTTTCTACTGAATTTAAATATGTATATGGAAAAACACCCTTTCTTATTAACAAATTAAATTTACTTTTATCGTCAGAATGAAATTCTTTGACGACTTTCAGTTCATCCTGAGTTAAATTTTTAACTAAATTATCTAAATTCGATGTCATAAACCGGTATGAGTCTAAAAATCTTATTTCAATATTGCGACCGTTATCGCTATTAATAGTTTTTGAAAGAGATATATACAACTCCTTATTGAGTGGAATAATATTAATGGGACCATCATCAATATTATTAAGCTCTTTCACAAATAAATGACAATCATATGCCGAAAAGTTGTGAAAAATAACTGGGATAAATGAAGGTAATTTGTAATTTATATTACAAGTATTATGAGCCGGTCCTCTATATTTTCCACTTAAATGACAATGATCTCTTACTTTTTCTTCATTTAAAATATTTTTTGAGCAAATATGACATATATTATTTGAATAAAAATCTAAATTTTCCTCTTCGGTCAAGGGTGCCATTGGTATAATATTTTTTAAATAATTATCATTTAAAAATTTAGCATCTGATACTAAATTCTCTATAAATAATTTTGCTGAGTTAAATCCCTTAAAACTACGTAATTTACTTAAACTATTATCAAAAGCACACTTAATGTAGTATGAAAATGCATATGGAATATGTTTATCAACTAATGTTGTCGATGATGAATCCATGTTCGGAATGCATGTTTGAATATTTTCAAATATACATTCAGAATCAGCATATACTACAAACGGTACATCCATAGAATTACAATAGTTTTGAAATTCTAAAGTAGACTTATCTTTTTCCGGAACATAAGATACTTTTTGACCGCAATTCTTCTGGTGTGCTACCAATTTTTCTATCAGATGAAAATGTTGTAAGCAATCATCACATACAAATACCTTCTCTTTTCTTTTCGTTTGTTGGTTTCTAATCAATCTGTAAAATTAGTAAAATACAAATAGTCAAAAGGATATGTTTTTTTTTTTATATTATACATACCTTGAAATAGATTTAATCCATACATAATGACACATGGTATTATCCCCAATACTTTTTTGAAGAAATAAAAGATTAATATGATTAGGCTTTTTGCATTTTGTTTTATAGTATGGCCCAACAACAATGTTATTTGCTTCATCATATCCAAATACATTTATACTTATACATGGATTATTTTCTTCAAAAATGGTTATATCCTTTATTTTTAATGGGAAGCTCAATCCATTGAAATTTAAGCAATAGCCCTTCAAGTTAATATTTTTCGACAAAATATTCACTTTATAATTAGATGTACGATTTGCCTTTGTTTCCAAATTAACTATGGCTGATATCACGGCCCATTTGAAACAAAATTCATCATTATTTTTGACATTTACGCATGCGTTCTTCATTAACAATTTTTTGGGTAGTGATATATAGGATGAACCCTTCAGTGGTTGATACTTATTTATATTTAGAACAACTTTTATTAATTGTATTAAAGTCCAACCACTGTCTCTTTCCTGAAACTCTTCCATTTTTTGTAAAATGCTTCCAATATTGTTGGTAAATTTTACTTCAAATTCGCTGATGTCGAACATTTCTTTCATTTTTGTTTGAAAACTTTTCACATCTAATGGGGTGTTTTCTAAATCATCTAAGTTGGGCTTGGCGTAAAGAGCATGGAGTTCAACGTTGAACTTTAAGCCAATATTAAGTTTTAAAAATTTATAGACTTCCTCCATAAATTCTCTGCCAGCTTTTTTCAACAATATTTCTGGTATGAGACATTGTTCATTATTGATATTGTATGATAACGTGATAATTCTGTTTTTAAACGCGCTCTTCTCCCTTTTAATAAAACCATTAAATGTTGATTGTTCGGCAGCAGCACTGCCTGGAGTGGATTCATGACTTATTTCAGACATTTTTTTATTTAATTTATTTATATTTTTAATTGTTTATTTCAAATATAGTATAATTAACAAAATTTAAATGTTTAAATTTTTAATTAATTAAAAAAGTATGTTTAGAACAATTGATCCGTTCTTGGGAAAGTAGTGAAGTATACTCAATATAATACGTTAAAATATTTTGTTTTAAATATATGACAAGTCAATAATCTACTTTTTTATGTTAACTCCTTTGGATTCATATATTGAAATATTATTTATTTCTCTAATATTTGAATTGAAGTAACTATAAACATACACTTGATAATTTTTTAATTGAATCAGTTCATTTAAGATATAAATATGCACTAACGTAACTGAAGATAGTAATCAACTTGATTCACGCCTCAATATTAACTTTCTTTAAATATAGAAATCATGCACAAACATGATAGAAACTGTCAACTATATCAACATACATATAAACGACAATCTTAGCATATAGTACATGGCACATGCTAACAAATGTAAACTCTAATATAAACAAAAGAAGAGAATAATGTAAATAAAAATACGCATTCGCACTTTAAAAAATCAAACAAGAAATAAACATTATAAAAATGATCATCTTTAATAAGCAGACGATCATCATATTAAAATCCCCAATAAAACTCAACATAAATAAGTTCTATACGAACGTAAATTCACCTATCCAATTCCTAAAAATTTGTTTATAATGTATTAATTGTATTCAAATGTATGTAAAATGGAGTTATGTTACAGTTTGATATTAATGCTAAAATATGAAAATGGGTTAGGATATAATAAGGTCGACTATGTCTGATATTTTTCTGTTTATCACCACTATTCCCTCTCTGGTCATATATGGAATTATTCATACATGTTCGATTAATTTTTTATAAAAATAACAATTTTTGAGTCGATCGAACAAACAACCAACCAAACGATTTTGGTTGGAATGAATCCAGCAGTTCGACCAGGAGTCAGTACACACGTAAAAGATTATAATTTTTACTAAAGTCAAACCACTATAGTGGATAGACATTAGTAAAAGTATATATTTGGGTCATTAGTCATTAATGTATCCTTTAGTCATTAATGTACCCATAGACTAGTCAATCGTTACTTTAGTGTCCCCCAGTAACCTAGTGTGTGGAAACATGTAACTTTTTTACCTTTAACTTTAAAAGTCATTATCTTCTAAGCCCATGTTGGAATAACAAGACACAAAGCCAATCCTTCTTGAACAAGTGGCAACCCTAAACGGGTCTGCCACCTAACTCTAAACCGTAAGTAAACTATATTGTTCGGATCTTCTATCTATCCTTCTCTTTCTTTCAACCTTCCATCCTAACTCTCTTTTTCCCCATCTCCATCATCCTAAATCCTTCACCATTCTATATTATCCCTATTCCTACCACCCCTCCTATCTTCTATCCGTCTGGTTACCAGCCTAGCCGCCAGTGGTAAAACAAGATTTTAAAAGGGAAACTTACTCGTTCGGGTCTAACACTTAACCATTATATGCAACGTCACTAGGTTGGAACTATCTCCTTGAACCGTCGGTCACTAGGTTGGAACTACCTCCTGCTCCGTCGGGCTACTTTATTTTGATTTCATAATAAATATAATGTTGTTGTATGTGGCTAAAGCAACAAACAAACGAACATCATCGAACACATTAACTGGTTGCATCGAACCAAACAGCGATCGAACCTTCGAACATTTTGGTTGCAATGTCTGTCATTAAAAAGTGGCCTGGAATCCCTTCAAACATACTACTCATATAATTAGAAACTTTTTATTTTACACATAGAATCGTTGAACTAAAAATATATGAAGACCCATATAGATTTTGGTCACGATAAATTTAAATATAAAATATTTATTACTTAGGAATATATAGTTTTATAAATGGCACCTACTCAACTGAATTATCATTTACGTTCTTCCTAGAGGAAATTTTACAATTCGTCAAACATAATGTATGGATTTATAAAATATTTTTGTTGTTCTTTCTATAGTTCGTGTATGTTTCTATTTGAGAGAACATGTTGCAAATGTACAACTTTTCACTAAATAAAAAAGTAGCAATTTTCTTGAATGTTAAATGGGTTTACTTCTTTTACTTTATTTATTCAAAATGAATACTTTATTGTACTCATAGATAGACAACTACATATTTATGGCTTTAGGTTACGAGTTCTTAGAAAATTTGTACACGTACTTTGAGCTGCAATACTATTTTGTCGTAAACACGTCAGTTTTGAATAGGACATAAAAGGATATTAAAGAATGATCCAGTAAATAGTGCAGAAATTTAAGAATTATTCTCAAAAAGTAATACTTTATACAAAAGTTGCAACTCCTTTAAAATTCTGTCATTATTTTCTCCGTTTCTTTTCTCCTTTAAAGTTCTTTAAAATTTGTTCACATGTTCTTCTGGTTTTGTTACTGTGTGAAAATTTGAAAATTATTCTTTCCTTTAGGGCCATTGCAGTAAACTTCCTCCCTTTATTATCACATTTTTTTGTGTATCCTTTATATAACACGTTCTTGTTTTCCTTTTTCGTATCCTAAAGCTTTGCTTTGTAGTTTTCATTCTAGCAAAGTGTTGATGCGTGTTGTATTGGCAACGGTGTTCATGGTCAAGTAAATGGCCAGGAAGATGAGTAAAGTTATACAACATGTTGCTATACAAGTTTAGTGTTTGCCTATTTTTTTAACCTTAAGGGAAAATATATTCCACATAAAAATTTCTACTAAAAACTTGCAGCTAAACTTACGAAGCAGTTTTAATCAGTTTATAGTCTTTGTTAACAGTTCGTTAAGCAATTTTTAAAGATAACTTGAATAGTATTTTTGATTTGGCAAATAAATAGATAAAATATGTTTATATACATACATATTTATATGTACTTATATATAATCCAAATTTTAGATCAGTCTTAAAAAAGGAACAAATACCAAAAGTCAAAGTACATATTAACGAAGTTATAGAGGTTCAATTTTTGGTGGAAAATATAAGTGATCGCAGATTAAAGTATTTTATTAAAAAAAATTCAATATTAAAGAAGTTATAGAGGTTTTTAGTTTTGACTCAATTTTGTTAAGAAAAATCGACTTTGGGTTGCAAATTTAATTGATCACAGATTAATGCGTTTTAGTCAAAAAACTCAATATTAACGAAGTTATAGAAGTTTTTAATTTGACCCAATTTTCTTAAGAAGAATCGACTTTGGTTGGAAAACTTAAGTGATAACAGATGAGCGCGCTTTACTAAAAAAACTCAATATTAACGATGTTATGGAGGTTTTTAGTTTTAACTCAAATTTCCTAAGAAAAATCGATTTTGGGTGGAAAATATAAGTGATCACAGATTAACGCGTTTTATTAAAAAAACTCAATATTAACGAAGTTATAGAGGTTTTTAATTTTGACTCAATTTTCTTAAGAAGAATCGACTTTAGGTGGAAAACATAAGTGATCGCAGGTTAACGCGTTTTACTCCAAAACACAATACAGACTTATTTATGAAGTATTTTACCGGTTTTATGGTGATTTTTTAAAGTTTATTGATTTCGTATTTATGTATGTATGTTCTTTTTCAAGTATTAGAAGTTTTGGACATACTTACCGTATACGTAATATTTGTCATAGATTTGTGTTTATAATAAATATTACTCATACCGCCGCAATGCAAATAAGCGCATATTATATTTCACACAAAAAACTAAACCGTTGGAATTTTTATGGCTATGACTTCACCACACACTTCATTGACATATATTGATAATTTTTGTTGTTAGTTATAGATCTGTTCCAGTTCTAGTTCAGTTCAGGTTTAGTTCAATTCTAGTTCGCATCTTCATGTTATTCTATCATTGTATGTTACCACAGATATACAGATAAGTAGTTGTTTTAAATTACTGTATTCTGTAGTGTATATTGTTCTTAATAGCAGTTCACTGTTTTGATAATTTGATCACGTTTTATAGTGAACATTTCAAAAGTTTTGTGACATTTCAATTTCTCGTAGACGTGTTGCAAAAGTTAATGGGCGTCAAATTAAACAATTTGCTTATGTCTAGTAGTATTAAAAGTTTGATACAAATATATAATAATAAATAATTATGTTTAGAATTTGTGAATTTTAATTGAAAATAAATACAGTCGTTCTATTTTGGTAGAATTGGTCTTTTTTACTACGAAATTTTTATGGACATTAGTTTGTAGAGCAAGAGTATTCTGCAGCTATAATATAAACGTTTACCACTAATTTTCATTAACTTATTGAAATACTTTTGAATATTTATTTTGAAACTATGTACTATCAATTCATGGATCAATTATATCAATAAAACATACAAGAGTTTTTGTTTTAAAGTGAATATATTTTGTTTATTTATGTACTACCATCATTATTGGATTTATGGTGACATTTAAATTTATTACAAAAGTATATTTCAAAGATTTTTTCTTATGTATATGCAATATATGTATGTATGTATATATGTACAATGTATATCTATATATATAAAAATGAATGTGTGTTTGATTGTATGTTTGAACGTTATAGACTACTAAACGGCTGAACCGATTTTCTTGAAATTTTCACAGCGTATTCCTGTGAAAATGCGATGAGCTACGCCCACATTAAGAAAATATAAAATCCGTATATTTGAGATAATATAACAGTTAGAGTCCTCAAATTTTGTCGGAGCCACTTTAGTGTCAATATGATCATTTAGGACAAAAAGTAGGCGGACTAGCATTAGGGGGCGTGGTAGCTCCCATATAAATTAAATACAAAAATACGTTTATCTTGGAAACTATTACAGTTAGAATCTTCAAATTTTGCACGAAAAACTTTAACCTCCATCTAAACATTTTGGGTAATAAATTGGAGGACTACCCATGAGGGGAGCGGCACCTCCTATATTAATTAAAGACAAAAATTCGTTTATCTGGAAAACTAATTGAACTAAATTCTTCAAATTTCGCACGAAGAACTT